CAGCTAAACCCTTTAAATAGGCGCCCCAAGCAAATAGAGTCGTTGCTCTATCGGGGGCCGACCGGACTGGCCTGACCGGACGCACCCCAGCATCCGGTCAACCCTGCTCGTCCACATGTCCCACCATTTAACGTGCACCGCTGATCTCCAATGATCTAATGACCCAGCGCAATGGCTAAGTCACAACTAGACGCGCAGTAGTGAGACCGGACGTGCCTTCGCTGAGTCTGCTCCACGCACCTCCACGCCACCAAGCGCTAACCTAACGCACCGCACCGCGACCGGATGCTCCATAGAGGTGGAGTCCGATCAACTCCAGTATGCACCCCGAGAGGGTTTTTCGAGACCAGACACGTCAAGTCGGCACCGACTGGACGCGGCTCTGAGTCCGATCACCTCTACGCCGTAGGTCGAGCTCCAACGCCCCTACGTCAGCGTACGTCACACGTGACCTGATGCAGCCCCTGTGTGTCCGGTCACGCACCCTCGCATGCGTTTGATCGTGAGGCCGAGCGCCTCCTTCTCTGTGCTGACTGACCGGATGCGCCCGGGGTGAGTTCGATCACCCCGGCGCTAGAGTCCGGTCACTGTTGTCTCCTCCTTTATCTTTTTCTAACACCCCAACCTCTTCACCCTTGCTTCCAAGTTGCTAACCACAAAGTGTAGAACTTGTGTGCACGTGTGTTAGCATTTTTTTCAAAGCATTTTACAAGGGTTAATTGTTAGCACACTAGATCCCTAACGCATATGCAAGAATCATGTCACCTAGTGGCACTCGATAACCGCTTAGCCAAAGATCTCTCCTCTTTATAGTACGGCTATCGATCCTAAATCACTCACACCCTCTATGGTGTCTTAAGTGCAAACCAAAAATGGCTCCTATCATTATACCTTTGCGTTGAGCCTAATTTTGTTTTTCTCTTTCTTCTTTTCAAATGTGAAGCACTTGATTCATCTTTTTGTGGCCATCACCTTCACCATGACCATCATCTAGCTCCACCACTTGGATTGGACTATCTTATCTAATTCACATACTTAGATCAAAGGTTAGTCCTAGGTTTCATCAATTATCCTAAACCAAACTAGGGCTTTCACCGGTGGTGCCGGCACCAGCGACGTGATGTGCCTCCTTCTCTGACAGCCAACGAAAGGAGACGACACAGGTGATGTTTCCCGTTGGTAACCCACCCTCCCCATCAGGATAGCTTTGGTGGGATACGAGGCTCCAGTTTCCCAAACCCAAACCCACTAAATATCCCTATCTAGAAAACCAAACATGGGTTATTATATCCCTTTCCCACCCTCTCTATCCCATGAACCAAACGCCACCTAAGAATAAGGGCTTAACGATAGAATTTGGTGGCCTTCTACTTTTGAGGGCTAGAGTAGAGATTCTCTAGAGTACTTTTTTTGCTTCAGCCCTCAAAAATAGGGTACGGACTTCAATAAGGATAGTCTTGCTAAAGTTGTTGAACATCTTCAACAGTTTGGTAAACCAACTCCCAATCTTGTTTTTTGGCATGAAAGAAAAAGACTCCACTCCTACTGCTCTTATCCTCTATGCGTGCTTCGAAAAACGTAGATAGTCACACTAAGAGCTACACGAACAACCCATACTCCATATCCATTTTTTATGTTGTTGTTCGGCCCTCAAAAATAGGATAGGGACTCAAATAGGGATGACCTTGTTAAAGTTGTTGAACATCTCCAATGGTCTAGTAATCCCACTTCCAATCTTGTTTTTCGTGATAGAAGAAAACTCTACTCCAACCGCTATATCCTAACTCTCAATCTATACGTGCTTGGAAAAATGCAGGTATTCATGCGAAAAGCTACGTGGACGACCCATACTCCCTATCCACTTTTTCCTCGGCGCTCTCAGTTACCCCCAACTGCCACCGCCGCCGCCTTCGCTTGGAGGTTCATCACATTGAATTGTCAGACACTATTTTCATATCTGAGAATACTAGGCGATAGAGCATGCAATGGAAATTCTACTTTGAGGTTTTAGGTGTACTACCTCCGTCCAAAAAAGAATGCACTATGAGTTGTGTGCCACACAAAGTGATTCAGTTTGACTAAGCTTTTATTGAATGGTGTTCATATTTATAGCACTAAATTAATTTATTATGAAAATATATTTCGTAATTAATCTAATGGTATTTATTTGGTATCACAAATATTGATATTTTTTATCTATAGTTGGTTAAACTTTTTTTTCTCGAATACGCAAAAGATTTGCGCATTATTGTAATTAAGAAGAAGAGTTTAACCATACAAATAACGCACTCTAACGAGCGTCCTAGGAGATCTACTGGTTGACCTTCCTAGTATACAGATTCAAATTTTGATATTACATAAATGGTACACAATCGAGCTGCTGTTTGCGCGCTCCTACTCCGTCATCCGAGAAGAGAGCGCTAGTACGAGTGGATCTTCTACTAGCCCTATTGTTGGTCGTTTGAAACAACTCGTCCAGAGCTGCAACTTGGCTCGACATCAAGTTTCCTGTGAAGATGGCGTCGTGTGCTCGCTTGGACGCGGATGAAGTTGGTGTCGCCTATGACAGGGTGCCCATCCTTTTCATGAGGAGTACCTCGCCCCGCTTGGAGGTCGGTACGTGCGCCAGCGATTGAGCGGCAGTCAGTCTACTCCTGGTTGGCAGGGGCCTTTTGGTTGCCGCCTTCTGCCTTGTTGGAGTGGCGATTAAGGGTGTCCTTCGCTTGAGCTACACCTTCTCGGCAAACCATGTGAGGCGCCGAGCGGCCTCGCACGGCATGGGTGTCGTGTCGCTGTTCGGCTGGCCGTTCTTCGTGGGCGTAGAAGGGTTGGGTGTGGCTTGGCCGTCCTATGTCGGTGTAGAAGTACCCGCCATGTGCTTGGCCGGCTCGAACCCAGGTGGCCAGACCTCACCATCCTCTCCTAGCGCCTCAGCATCCGTGACAACGGGTTGTCCCATCTATGGTGGCGAGCCTTGCACAGGGGACAACGGAGGCGAATCCGTCGTGTACTGAGGAGCCATCGCGGGGGGAGGGGGGACGGGTGTCCACCAACGAAGCTTGAACCTCATGAGGGGTGGTTGTCGTAGCCTACAGGCACAGCGAGGCGACAATCTCTTCCAGCATCAGGTCAATCGAGACGACTCAAGTGGGAGGCCCTGCGCCCTCGCACAGCGCATTCGCCATCGGATCTGGCTCGAGGAAGCAACGTGCGCCAGTCAAAGCTAGCAGGAGGCCGACGGTCGGTAGGTGCGCCCATGCTGATGTCCGGAGCCGACCGACCTAGGCACCGCTGGTGTCGTCTCCGGCTTTAACGGATGCCGTCGGCGCCCCCCGCGGCACCCTGCACGGTCCATCCGAGGCCGGTGGACTACCGAGGGGTGCGTGGTAGGAGGCCGGTGGGTTGTCGGCACAAGCTGAGCGACGAGGCAGGCCACCACCCTTCGACGCCGACTTGGACCGCTGGCAGTCCTTGGCGAGTTGGTCAAATTTAAGGTATTAAAACATAACACTGTGCTAGAATTGTACTATTTTAGAAACAGAGGTAGTATTTTTAAGGTTCTAGGTGAGTTGTACCAGAATGGTCGGCCATGGTCTAATTGCGGCCGCTTCAGCCTGTTCGGTTGGCTGGTTCGTATCATTGCTGGTTCGTGAAGAAGTACTGCTGGCTAGTTTGTGTGAGAGAAAAATATTGTTTCGGCTGAAAATTTACGATCGTTTACGACAAGCCACAGCCAAACAAACAGGCTGTAGAAGATCATTATGAATATCTGACCACTATTTTTAAATCTAAAAATATCAGGAGGTAGAGCCAGCAATCATTCGGTTTTGAAGTTTTTGGACGTGCGCTAGGGTGCCGAGATGGTCAGTCACGACGAAAGTTATTACAAAGGAACCATCCGTGGACCATATTTCTTTTACCTAAATATAATAAATCTCTGCACCTAAAAAAACCCTAAAATAATCACCCGGTGTATCAAAAATCGTTGAGGATGGCCTCATCGCCCATCGTTCCCCTCAGCGGCGTCGGCCATAGATTTGGTCGATCTGGCAGTTGGGGTCGTGATTTGGCCAAAGAAACCTCGATTCGGTTGAGTAATCTGGGGGAAATTTGATTTGTGCAGAGAAGAAAGTGAAGAGGAGAGGAGGGGATGGAATCTGCCGTGCGCCCGTGCGGGAGGCGGAGCGGAGATGCGAGGATATCGTACCAAACGCGCGCGGGCTGTAGGGTGTCGTTCGCATCGCCAGGAGCCGCCGCTCGCCTCGCATGCAAGCAGCAAGCATATGTGGCCGGCCATGCTGCTTCACTATGAGTTGGGTGGAGCAGTCGAGATTTTTGGGAAGGACGAAGCAGTGCAGCTCGCCGATGCGTGGATGATAACGTGCGGCGGACTGTTTCTTCTTTTCCTTTTTAATTTGCAAGATGCTTTTGGAATCCTAGGCCCTGTTAGGAGCCGAACGGTTTCAAAGAAATAGTATTTTTCTTCGAAGCAAATAGAGCCATAATTGAATTAATTATTAAATGATTACCACATTTTAGGTGTGTACTGCTGAAATAAACTGTAAGATAAATTATTATTAGTTTTTTTCCAGGTTTGTGGAGAAGCTATGTAATGCTTGGATTTACGTAGCACACTGAAGATAACATGACAGATGATGGTTCTTTTGATTTTTAAGAAAAGTAAATGATAAAGATCATTAACCGGGTTTCGTACTAGATTTATAGATTTATTTATTAATATGTTTGACTAAACCCATGAGTCGTCATAGACGTAGGCAAACATTCATAGCCCCGTGCGCATATATCTAGTTTTAAGAAAAATTATTGGACTTATTTTTTCGTATATTGTCCCTTTGGGTGTTAAAAAATAAAGAAAATACTAAAAATAAGCGAAAACAAGGAAAAATAAAAGAAGTGAGACGCGGGTTCGACATCAATCAAATATCGAAATTTCTCACATCCAAACGCCATCACCACGCACTTATCGGTGAAACCGCGCCATGGCCACGGCGGCGCCCGCGCTGCCCACCTTCCTCCGGCTGTGGCCGGCCTCGCCCTTCCTCCTCTCCCCCAGCCCTCACGTCCCCAGTTCAAGGCGCCCCACTCCGTTGCGCCTGAACTCTCTTCGCCCTGCGAGGCCGCTCTTCCCCATCTCAGGTTCGTTTGGTGCTTGCACTACGGAACTTGTGAGCGCGTCCCGCCTATGTACTGGGCTCGCGTTGGGGTCCCTCCCTCATTGATAAATAATAACCGCCGCCTCGTGTGCTGCAGCTGTGGAGAAGACCAACGAGGCTGCTGCGGCCGGGGAGGGTGAGCTGGAGGGGATGCCGCCCGAGTTCTACGACGAGGTATGCGCGTATCTTTGCTCGTCTATGAATTTCGTGGTTCGGTCGTTGAGGAATTTCATCGCGCGGGTGATAGTATGTGGGTATCTTTGCTCGTTCATGAAGTTCGTTGTTAATTCGTTGAGGCATTTCATCGAGCGGGTGATATGCAAGCTTAATCCCATCTCGTTAATGTGAATGAGTGCTAGGATCAACAAGCATGCTGTGAACCAGGAAATATGTATATGCTAGTGTTAGAAACATTTCCTTTCTGGAGAACTAAAGACGTTTTTTTTTCTTTTCCCTCTTGTTCTTTAGATACATTGGCAATCCACAAGGGCTGCAATTTGCATGATGCCACCAGAAATCCTCTATTACTGTAATTAGCCATTTCCTTCTGTTAGTCTATTTGCTAATGTGGACCATGGATAAAGATTGCCGTAAGCACTAATATCTCGGTCTTTCTCTTTTGTCTTCGGTAGGTATTATCAAATGCACATCTGAGATGGTTCGCCATGTACAATTTCTGAATTATTCTGCTACCATCAACTTTTAGCCTGTAGGACCAAGTTATTGTCGTCATGAGCCTTCCTCACAAATTGCTCACTCTACACCGACTTGACATAATAACTTATGTCAGTGCCATCCATCTCCATTCAGCGTGATCAGCTGGGGCTGGCTGGCTGGCTGGGCTGGCCAGCCCCCTCACAAAAATACTGTTTATCTGAACCAGCCAGTAGTACTTCTCTCTCACATAAACGAACCAGCAACGATACGAACCAGCCAACCGAACAGGCTGACTATGACTTATGTTCGAAGTATTACCTCACCTGTACTGTGATGTCGAAAACTGCTTACTTCCCTAAGATTTTATGGTCATATCATATCTGTACAATGTACACACTCAGTAAATAGCATCATTGATCAGATTTCATTTATTTGTTATGTTTATATGAGTTGGCAGATGGTATCATTGATTTTACTTAATTCAGAAGCAACTATTTTGTCAGCAAGCATACAAACATACACTTCCACATGCAGGAGTGGCAGGCCCGTCAGCGGAAGAGGACTAAGGAGTGGCATGCATATCGGCAGAAAGAGGAGGCCGAGGAGGAAAGAATAACAAATGAGTACCGAGAGATAGGCATGCGCCTGAAAGCTTACCCACAAGAAGAAGTTCGCAAAGCTAGAATTTTAGTTTCAAGTTTCATAAGAGCTGGTGAAGATGTTGAGGAGGTAACATTGCATTGTGCCTTCCTAAAGATGCAATTAATTCCTTCAATTTTCTATCTCATGTTTCTTTCCCTTTATCTTTATGATACAGCAGTTAGCCATAGTTTAGTTGATTATGGAAAGTAGTCACAATACTGGAACAGAGTGTGGATCAATTGCACTGAAAATATGGCTCTTTCTTGGGTGTTTCAGTGACCTAGAAAACACTTAGATATAGGAAAATTATTGTAAGAAAGGTCATTCAAGCTGTCTTGTATGAACAAGTTAAAGTCTTCAAAATTACTCATTGCAACTCACAGATGCCTGCACCAAGCACCGCTCTAGTCTCATAAGATCTATTCTCTCTGATAGGGCCATTGGCCATAGCTGTCATCAAAATGAAGCCAACCAAAATCCATGTAGCCATGTTACTTTCACTTGTCAATATATTCACCATCTGACTCATCAAAAGTAGGACTCCGAAGTGTGAGCATCAATGCATTGTTGTGTGATTATTCTCGTACTAATACATTAATAATTATAATTACAAGACTATGTGAACTAAAAGTTACAGTTAGTATTTCCTAAGCTTGAGTTTTGCTACCTAGGGCACTGTCTTTCAAAAATTCATTTTGGAGAAGTTTTATTTTATATTTTTATTGATGAACTGGTACGGTACTCATATGCAGGAAATTGAGAAGGTTGCTGAAAGAGGAGAGCTTACTGAACTTGTCCTTATGGTCATCTGGAATCGACTTGATGTTGCTCGCCGTGATGTATGTAAACTCGTTCTCATAATTTTGAATTTAAAATTAGAATATTTTCTTAAATAGAATTATTTTCTAAGAGATCTTAAAATCCCAATGTGCCATATATTAGTTATATATTTTTCTTTCTCTATGTTAAGACTTTTAAGAGATATGTTTTATTATCACTGATTGAACTTTCTATAGCACTACCACAGTACTAAATATTGTTTTTTTTCGAAAGGCACCAGCAAGAAATTTGCTGTGCATGTATTAATAGAGTAGAAGCAAAGTACAACAAAACCTTTACAAGAAAACCAAAACAAAGAACACAAACCCAGGGCTACTGTTGTTGCGCCGCCACAACAACGACCGCAGGAAGACGCCTTCAGCTGGCAATTGCTGCTGAAGCAATCGTGGTCACAGGCAAGCGTGAGTGGGTGCCTCCGCGCCGGTCTACACAGACCGCTTCCAGCCAAGATGTCGCCGGCCCCCACGGGTCGCCACCAACCACCACTACGGCAAGGACAAACAGCACAGGCACAACGGAGGATCTCCTTTGCGCTGCCTCCAAGGAGGGAAAGACGTCCACGGATGCCTTCAGCACACTAGTTTTTCAACTGGAGAAAATCCTTAGAGAGGTAAGGGGTCTCACAACAATACCTCCATGGAGGGACATGGCGCTGATGCGTCATCATTGTTGGCATCGGCACAAAGCCAAGCAAGGCTTTCGCCCGAGAACCCTCCACCCAATAAGGTTGCCGCGCCTGAGCAAAGACCGCCGTCATCGTTCTGTCCAGCCACAGAAAACCGACAAGGAAGCATACCAATACTAAATAGTGTAACCTGTAAACACTGTTTACCTCAGTTCCTTACTACTTTTATGTCTGCACCCTGGTTCAAGAAGTATCTGGGTTGGACACCCTCACGCTTGCTGCTGCTTTGCCTTTGTATGATTGTATCCCTGCCAACATGGGCCCATGGGCCACATCCTGAATTGATCCCTGCTTAATAGTCCAATGCACAATATCGGCCCAGTAGTCCCTAACATTTCATTGTTCACCGGTGGATCTTTATGCTTTCCAAAATTCTCAGCATGGTAGAAAGATATTTAAGTTTTTAATATGACTGGACTATACTTTTTGGATATTTGACATTCTGTTGTACCTTCAGGATGAGCGGGATGCCATCAGAAGCCTTGATCTCTTGTATAGAAGGGTAGAGGTAAGTGACTTAGCTGTGCCTTTTATCGTAGTTAGATGATTTTGTATCCATATAAATTCGAGTATTCAGATATTCCGCCTTTTTCTTCCAATTAGCTCATTGGTGTGTGATGGGATAATCAGAAATGATAATCTTAATGCAGACAGAGATTCTAAAGAGTGAAGCAACTCCTGCCATGAGTTTGCTCAATGAGCTCCTTAATCTTCATGATGGAGGCGACAATGAAAAGTGGTTAAAGAAATGTAGAAAGCGCATGCTTGAAGTCTTTCCAAGAGAGGACCCATTCACTGTGGTCTTTCCTGCTGGGTTCAACATGGAGAATGTATGCTATTTCAGTCAAATTGACCTTCCCATATCTTCTGAAGACTCAGTACAAGATATGTCAAACTCGAGCATAGCAGATTTACGGAAAAGACACTAACAAATTTTAGGTGTTGACTTACATGTCACTGCTCTTAGACATTGCTACTGCATTTTTTTTTTTGACTTGCGCAGAAGTATATAAAAAGAACGACCTGCAGGGAAAGACTGTCCCCACGGCCATTGGTCCTGTTCGCTTTGCTTATCAGCCGTACTTTTTCAGCGAAGAAACAGTGTTTTCCTCTCACACCAAATCAGCGAACAGTACTTTTCAGCCTGGTTTTTCAGCAAACTTGCACAGAAGTATAATATAATTTAGTAAAAGTAGGACAGATACAAGACACCTGTAATTGGTTCTTCAACATATATATTGTTGGGCCCTTTGTCATGCAGATCTCTTAGTTTTTGTTGAAAGTTTTGAAATCATTGATATAAGAAACAACTCAATTTCTTTCTGAAGAAAAGCATACATGATTATCAATATAGACATTATTGCCACATCACCTTAGCAAAATAATTGAGTCTCAATAAAATCAATAATATCCTTTTCGATTAATGATTGGATTTAGGATCTACTGCTTCCTTTTAAAATGACTTCTCTATTTTTTTTTTCTTGGTCCTAATGTGGTAAAGAAATATTCTGGATATTCTTTTTTATATATCATTCCTGAATTATTTTTTTTCAGCATGAAGGGCGAATTGAGCTGCCGCCTCAGGATGACGAACTTCTTCTGAGAGTGGACTTTGTCAGGGAAGTTGATGAGCTGCTGAAAGAGGTTCAAGCTGAGCAAGACAAGAAAAAGCAACAAATTGGATTTGACCCAGAATCAGTTGCATATATGCTGAAGCAGCAGGAGAAGATGCAAACCATACGTCAGGTAGAATCTCTCCTGGACTTGGCGTCCTCCTTGAAATGGTGAGGATTGAGTAGTATCGAACAACTATTCTGTCTGCTTAGAAGCTAAAAGTCATTGACTTTACATTGTACTAAACAGTTAGAGGGAGAAATCTTGGTTTTCAGCTAGTTAGACCGATAACCATTCTGGGTAGAGCCATGCGATTTACTTCGACATCCATGTACATTTGTATGTGTAGAGATGTATTACTATATATCAATGTATGTCTGCACTGCTAATGAAAAACCTATCTGAACCCTTGATGTCCGATACCAGTTGAATCTTCACTATTGCACTCATTTTAATGTTTGAAATCAACTGATGTGAAGTGGCGGTGTCTACCGCTGGAGGTAGCCTCCAGCTCCATTAGCAAAGGTTGAACCAGGTGAGCTGCAAGTCAAGTTCTCGTATCTGATGCACAGATTCAATTGCAGAAAAAAGTCGTGGTTTAGTAATAGTTCTGAAGTATTTGGAGACTTGGAGTTCACAAGGTGAGCTGCAAGCCAAACAAGTTCTATCGTATCCGTTGCCCAGATTCAAATTGCAGAAAAAGTTGGCGGTTTAGTTTTGAAGTATTTGGAATTTACATGGAAATGAGGGATGAGAATCTGGAGGGATACGTATTTTGAACAGCATTAAGTAGCGTTCCCAGCTTCCTCCCTATCAGGTTCTGCCGCCCAACAGCTACCAGCAACCGGCGAGAGCCAGCCACCACACCACAGGCAGCATCAGCAACTTTTTTTTCCTTTTCTTTCTCCGAGATTTCTTTATCGATTGTTGCACACAAAATTTTCCATAAAATTTATGCCGTAAATCAAACAATCATGAGGAACCCACTAATTGAACAGAATGGTATTCCAAACTCACACGAGAGAATGTCGACAAAGACTCAAAAGGAGGAAAAAAATCAAAGAATGTAGACAAAAGGTAGCAAATCATCCTTGTACACGAGTGTTATTGAAGCATGAACAGTTAACGCTAAAAAAATAATTCAAATTTGTTTTCGAAATCGGAGTAAGCAAATTCAGATCACGCCTGCAAGAATTAAAATCGCCAAGAATTCCATCATACGTCAATAGCTCGATTAAAAAGTTCCTCCATAGTATCTGGTCATCCTGTGCCCATACATGACACACGTTATTGTTCATGAAACCTTATTAAACATTTTTTCAAAAACATTATTAAATATTCGACTCATTTTCTTTTCATCAAAATCCTTAAACTCACATTAAGGCATGTTTGTTTGTCCTGCGCAAAACCGCAGCATGAGCAAACTGTCGTATCTGACGGGGTGCAGTGAGTAGCCATTCCGTAGACCTACACATCAGGCCTTGTTCGCTTGAGCTACTTTTCGGCCATGGAACAGCGTTTTTTTCTCACAACATTTCAGCATAAGCCAAGTTTGTGAAGTCAGAGTTTTCTGTAAATAAACGAAATCAAATGATCACCATGAGAAAAGTATGTTACGTTGCAATGCGTCAGACGATGCAATCTGCGGGGACAATACAAATGCGGCATCCGCAGTTGTGGCCAATACACATAAAATCTTGTTAATATTGTTAGGGTAGGAAAATGGACTTTTTCCATTAATAAATACAAATTCACAAACATGGCAAAGGAAGCTATCAGCTTACATCTCAGGTTGTTTAGGTTACAAAAAGGCAGTAAGAAACTAGACATACCATTCATCTGTGAAAATGAGGAACTTTATTATCATAAACATTCTCATCTACAATTTGCATCTTATTGGAACTGACGGGCCCCTCATAGTTGGTATCCGTTGCTGAAACCACACGGGCTTCCTGTTTGAGATCAGAAACTAGGAAAGAACCCTCTTTGATTCAAACAAAACACAACTATGTGCCTTCACTTGATACGAGGAAAATCCTAGCATTTGGTGTATTTCAGGACTAGACTCTCTTGAAAAGAAACCTGGAAATGCAAGTGATGTATCAACCAAGCGCAGCCACATGGATCCTTCTGTAATAGCTGGTAAAGTAGCACTCGCTGACACCTCGTTTGCATTGAAACAGATATACAAATCACCTCCAGTTGAATCTGGCAGCTTCTCATCCAGCTCCGCATTTATGTGCATGCAAAGAAAGTTGCTAGTAGGATCCTCCCAACGTGGTTCAGATAAATCACTCCCATACCAATGTATATTTTCAAGTTTTAGAAATTCTCTTCTCTGGAAAATGTCTGCTCGTCGACTCCTTAGTGCAGATAGAAATGAAATAAACCCGGTAACTTCCTTAACAAAAGCTGTCTTCAAGGCTTTCCAGTTCAGAGGCCCTCTATCCTTGTATGATGTTGAACCAGCAGCAGAGTGTCCACATTCATCTCCCATGTTAAGAACAGGAATACCAAGGGAAATAAATAGAATAAACAAGAAATTGCGTATCTGCCTTAGCCTCGTTTGAAGGACTGCATTGTTCTCTGATGGTCCTTCTTCACCACAATTCCAGCTGAACTCAGAACCAAACTCATCACAGCTGAAACTCACTAGATCAACAAGAGTGAGTCCAGAATTCCTGGATACATAATTGAACGAAAATGCTGGGCCCCTTGAGGAAAATAAGTCCCCACTGCCACACAAACGTGTAGCAAGATCACTGATTAGTGCTTCTCCCTTAAGAAACTTGCGCACATCCATAGAGAATTTTGTGTTCATCTCAGCCCATCTTTTCCAATGAGGGAATGGGAATTGCACATTAGATATGTCAAGCGGAGACCAAGGATCTGCAATGATCTTAGTCTTTGAAAGAACAGGGTCAAATACTATGGCTTCAAGAAGTGGAGGCCGTGAAAGGCCCTCACCACCTAGACCTCTGACAAGGAAAGGGGCATTGATGAAGCAGAACCCATCAACATGGAAGTCAAGCACCCAATGGCGGAGGCTGTCCAAAATGAGCTTCTGAGTCACCGGGTGGTTGCAATTCAACACACTTGCCTTGCATCCAGCAATTCCGTCAGCAATGTAGTACGAGGAACCATCAATGCCTCGGAGCGATATCATCTGACACTCTGCTCCTCCTTCAGCAGTATGCGTGAAAACAACCTCCAAGAGAACCTCTATTCCATTTCTGTGCATTGTTTTGACCATATCCTTCATAGACTTGATAGCTGAAACACTGGAGCGTTCACTGCTATACAGGCTCATAGGTGAAAAGAAATGGTACAGAAAATATGGTCCCTTCACTTGGTGGAATGGGAACACTGGCTCCAGCAAGACTGCATTGACACCAAGATGCCTGAAGTGCTTCACCTTCGCAGCCATGCCAGAGAAAGTACCGGCGACATCGTCTGCCAGCCCACTCGACCTGTCCTTGGTGAACAAAGCCACATTTGCCCGGTAGACCACCAGCTTCTCCAATGGCAAGCACGGGTGCTTGTCCCTGCCCCAATTGTAGGTGGGTGCATTCTTCAAGGACGCGAGGCACCTGACGGCTGACAGAATTCCGATAGGGAGAGGGTGGACACACGCGAACACAGAGGAAGCAAAATGTTTTTGGTGCTGCAAGCGACAGCTTTTCTCTTGATGTTTCATTTCTATATAAAGCAAAATTACAAGCTAAATATGGATACAAAAATGCTGATACAATCACAGCATGCTCGTGCGCAATTGTTGCCATCCCAACAATCTGGGGCATGCCATTCTTAGCACAGCCGGCTAATCAATTTCCTACTTACTAAAAAATGCTCAGGGCTTATTCAAAACAACGGCCGGCACAGCTAGCCCATCCTCATTAACAGAGTCGGCAGGGACGAAGTCCCCGATCACCTTGGCGTACGGGTCGAGCAGCGGGCGGTCAATGCCAAACATGGCGAACAGCCCGCTGCGGAAGCCGTAACTGTCGTATCCCTTCACGCTCTCCATCGAGACATGCCAGACATCGCCTGTCCGGTGGACGTACGGGTCGAGCTCGATCTCCAGTGCGGGCTCGTCCCCGCCGCCTCCGAACAGGCAGAGCACCATGCCCTTGGCGCTCTTGCTGTAAACCGCGAAGTTAGCGGCCTCGTTCTTGGACAGGGACAGGCCGAGCGGCGAGGGGCAGCCCCGTCCGACGCCCACAGGCACGCGGAAGCTCGTCCCGCGGTGCGTCCGTATCTCCGCTCCCGTCGCGTCGGCCAGCGTGAACGAGACGTGGAACGGCGCGCGGGCCCCGCCGTAGGACAGCTCAGCCGCGAGCGCGCCTCCCGGCGCGGTAGGGGCCAGAGGGACGCCCTCGCCGGAGCCGGCGGCGCGGAGCACCAGACCGCCGCTCCGTCCATGGGAAGGGGCCTCGACAGCGACCGCGTACCCCGCAGCGCCGTCTTTCCCGGCGACGGCCACGTCCACCACGCCGTCGTCGTCGGTCCGGAAGCGGTAACGGCAAGAACTCGCCGCCGCGCGGGCGAGGAGGGGACCGCAGCGGGGCGGAGGGCGGCGGGGCGTGGGTCCGCGCCAGGAGGATGTGGGCGGGGCCGGCGGCGCGGGGAGGGAGGAGGCCATGATGGGTGGGTGGGAAAGGGAGCGGCGCGATCAGCGGCTGGGGAATTGCGTCGAGCAGTCGGTGGGCATCGCGTGCTGTGCGGTGCGAGGGAGAGGGGGCACGAGGCCTGTGGAGTGGAGTGGCACGGGGGCGCGGGCGCTCGGTCGAGTCGTTCGTGTGTGCGGGTCCGTCTGGACGGAACGGACGTCCGCACAGTATCGTATCGGCCGCAACCGCTCCAGACCTCCAGTGTTTTCCTGCCATGTGTGGATGGCGTCAGGCCGTCAGCTTCTATGAACAGAAGATCTTGTGCAGGATGGGCATGGAGATGGGGCGCACGACTCTGACGTCTTGTCCTGGCAGAGCTGAAGCTCTGAGATAGTACACGGCTTTGTTGATTTTTCGGGCTAAAGTTTAGCCCCGTCCCATCGTATATTTGACATATATCTAAAATATTAATATAGATTTAAAAAATAATTAATTATATAAATTACGATTATTTTACGAGACTAATTTTTTAAGCCTAGTTCATAATCAGGGCCGGCCTTGAGGGCGGGCGGATGGGGCAGTCGCCCTGGGCCCCAATTCCCTGGGCCCATCCCAGGTATATATACCGTATATTGCGTGGTTAAGAGGCTAAGAGCTTTAAGCAGCGAATAGTTTCCGTCGTTGCTACCTGCAGGTATGCTGCCTCTCGCTGCAACTGCAACAACCTGACGATTCTCATGCGAGCTATTTTTGTGAAGTCGTTTGGTTACTGCAGATAAGCGCGGTGGGTCCTGATGGCTCCAACATATAATTTAGGCTCAGTTATTATATATATAACATTATATATATTATTATTCTTTATTAGAGATAGCACATTACGTTGCATTTCATGCAACTCGCTGCTAACTTGCTTTCTTCATCTTCTTCTAATAAACCAAAATTTACTTTACCGCAATTTGCTAGCTTCCTTCACTATCTTCTTGCATCTTCAAAGCGCACATGATTATGCATGCACCCGTACAGTAAAATCTTAACCTGCTTCTTTTATTTCTTTTTTAAATATTTTGTACAAAATCTAGTCAAACGGAAAAAAAAATGAGTATGAGTAGATGAATTAATACAATCACACATAGAGATTTATAAAGAAGTTTTTTAAGAGTAATTCAAGCGCTTCAAGAGATCCAAACAAGATGGTGATATGGTTGTCAAGGAACCAGAGTATACCATCATTATAGTGACAGAAAATTTGAAGGTATTTTAATATATATATATATGTATGTATGTATTGTTTCTTTGAATATCGCTTTTGTATAAGTAGCTAAGCGTTTATCATTAACTATTTTATACATATAAGTGTTTAAGCATGTGTATATAAGGGGCCCCTAGATTTTGGTTTTGCTCCGGGCCCCTAAAAACTCAGGGCCGGCCCTGTTCATAATTTGACAATGTGATGCTACAGTAAATATGTGCTAATGACGGATTAATTAGCCTTAATAAATTCGTCTCGTTGATTATTGAGGACTTGTGTAATTTGTTTTATTATTACTATCCGAACACTTCCATATGATACCTCCATATGACACTCGATGTGACACCTCTAAACTTTAGCCCATGGATTTAAACACCACCTTAGATAGTCTTTCGTTCATACTGATGGATGAGATCCTATCTTATTTCGTTATGTTTTTGTTTAAAACCGTCAGACATAAAGACATTCACCCTGTTCGCTTCAACTATTTTTCAGTCAACGAACAGTATTTTTCTCTCACGACAAATTAACATAAGCACAGCATAAGCCAAATTTCAGCATAAGTGAACAGGGTGATTGTTTGATGAGAATATTTCAGTAGTTTCGAACTTATCTCATCATGAAAAATGAGAAGCACACTTATCCATCCCTTCTTTATAGCGTCTCTTTTCCATTTTGCACCATTTTCCCAACACGTCCCTCCCCCCTGGATGTTACACCCGAAAAATTTTATTTTTATTTGGAAATATGGTAGAAAATGCTAAATAAAATAAATAATTTTAACAAAATTTTAAATTTTGAAAATATTTTAAAAAATTCAATTTAGAGAGTGAAAATTGTTATTTATAAATAATTTTTGGATTAATTTGATTATTTGTTACATGATTGTATAGAGTTTTTGTGTGTGAAATATCTTTCTAAATATTTACAGATGAGCTTGGGGTTTGGTACCAACCGCTTATAAAACATCGAATCGAATATCTAAGGTTATGTTTGGATCCTTCGAATTAACATCTATTCTAATAATCATAATTTAGGCATAGATTTATTAAGTTAACATGGATGAATATGTAACGTACATGTATGCTATTTATTAAGTTAACATGGATGAATATGTAACGTACATGTATGCTATTGTTGACTATATATGGGGAAGATATTTGTGTGCTGGACAAGACGTCAGAGTCATGTGCTGGCAGAGCTGTTGTTGACACAAAAGAAAGGATATGTCCAAACATAGATTTATTAAGTTAACATGGATGAATATGTAACGTACATGTATGCTATTGTTGACTTGGGGAAGATATTTGTGTGCTGGACTACTGCTACATGTGAGGGAGCCATCGAGTATGGTCTAAGTTGCAGGGTACAAACCATGCACGGAGATTAGCAGAATTATTTCTACCTTTCACCCCCATGAATTTAAGACAGGTATATATCTAAACTTTAGATAGTTCTAGAATATCAAATTTCAAGTCAAATAGCACAATCCACAGACTAGATTATAATTATGATTTTCTTTAAAGGAGATCAACTCAGCTTTTAGAAAGCAAATGAAGTATTTACAAGCTAGGGATACCGGTTGGGCTGACGTTCAACCACAAAAGCTCAACATCGAGCAGTCCAAGGACACATAAGAAGCAACCCCAGTTAAAATTAACTAAAGCTGAGGTCAACAGCGTGCAGAACAAGAAAACTAAAGGTGCAGCCCAACTAAATCTCAACTATATCTAAGGTGTAGCTATTGAAGGAGACGCTTCTCATCCAATCAGCCACTGCGCTTGTCACCTTCTCTACCTTTCTCATGTCTTTTTCTTTTAGAAGCTGTGCCCACATTTGCATAAAATTGAGACCCATCGAAATCAGACTCGCAGGGTTGGAATTCTCTCACATGAAAAGCATTAATCCACTAGTGTTGTCACTCAATTACCGAAATCCAAATGAAGTAGTTAAAAGAAAAAGAAATCCAAATGAAGTTTTTTGAATGTCCTATATTTACATTTTGCAAAATCCAAATGAAACTTTTAAATGTCCTATGTTTTTATTTTGGACGTTTATTGTGTTCTATCATGAGTATAAGGTTGTGACAACAATGAGATTGCGCTTTCTTGCTGATCAAAACCATCGACCTGATCAATACACAATAAATGTTCTATCCCTACAATTTCAGTAAGCAAGTCAGTTTTACATCTATTTGTTACGTTCACATCTTATTCAAAGAATATAATTTATTCAGACTGATTGAACTGTAAAATTTCCTAATTGCCGCTCCTAAGTCCTAACACTTTCCCTATTTATTTAGGTTCTTGTGTGAAATGTACCTCTAGACCTAGATGAATCAGTTACTGAGCATGTTGAGCACTTCTTGCTGTGAATCACCGTGATCATTACCTCAGTCACTAGGTTCTAACTTTTATTTGATTCTTTCCACTGTAGTACTGTCAGGATGACTTATATGATCAGGATTCAGGCAATAAGAAAAAACAAATAAAAAGTTTTTTATATTTCAATTTTCGTTTTTTTCTTTGACTGTACTTCTTAACTCTTCAACTGAAGCTGAAAGAGTGGCTTCTTTTCCTGTACTCTTCTTTTTAAATGAGAGATCCCATGTCCATTCCAGTGCAGATTTACATTTGAATTTTGTTCTTTGTGAATTTAATATATTCCTTGAAAAGAAAAGGTGCAAAGGCAGAAGCATAGGCTGAAAGAATTAGTAATTCCGTAAAAGGTTATCCTGCTGGTGCCGTGCAAAGTACAACAGCTCAAGAAGTGAAACTTTCTTTTGTGTCCATGTTTGGACAAAAGTCATCTCAGTCTGATCATTCTTTCCAATATGTGACACACTATGTACATTTCAAGACCTCGACCATATCCTTTCTTACAAAAAGAAATGATTAATTCCTGGTACATATACACATTACGAAACCTTGTCCAAGAATCCATCCGATCAGCGCTTGCAATTCACAAAGCTTACCACCAGCAATGAGACCTCGTAAAATACTTGATACTGCAGCTTTAGAGAGCCCACCTTCCATACATTGGTTGAAACAGCTAAGTGCAACCAAGAATTTTCCCTCTTTACAGAGACAATCAATCAAAAGACTGTAGGTGATGTCATTGGGAGCAATACCTTTCTCAATCATCTCATGAAGCAGGAGACAGGCCTCATAAGATTTCCCCAGGAAATTGAGATGACGGATCAAAGTATTGTATGTCACAACATCAGCGACAAACTCTTCACTTCCAAGCAAGCAAAGTGCTTCATGAAGCTTCCCAAGTTTACAGAGACTGTGGATCACAATGCTGAAAGTCCAGCTATTTGGAGCAATTCCCTTCTTGACCATATCGACGAAGAGCTTGACAACAGCCAACCATCTCCGATCATCACAAAGCCTCCTCATCACAGTGTTGTAGTTGACAACATTGACATGCCATCCAATCTCTGCACTACACTCCAAGAGGCACTTTGCAGCCCAAGCAGTTGACCTGCGGCAAACCCCATCAAGGAGGATATTCAGAGTAATCTCATTGGGACGCAGCCCAACAGACAGCATCTTATCTACCAATGCAAGGCTCTTATCTACTCTGCCATTTTTGCATAGTCCATCCATGTAAGTACTGTGTGTGATTGTATCTATTGTCCACCCTTTTGCACTGCTCTCCTCAAGAAGCGCATCTACTTCCTGGAAAGCACAAGCCTTGCATAGAGCTTCAACCAGGACATTGTAAGTGGCTGTGCTTGGTGCAAAACCAGCTCCAATCATCGTTTCCAAGAGATCCTTG